TGACTGTTTCTTTGGAGAATCATATGAACTCAAGAATGGAATACAACTGGTTGTATTTGAATTAAGTTTCACTGCCTTTTTCTTTAAGATGCTGAAATTCTAGAAACAAAACCTCCTCTGTTTCCCATCTCTGAAAAGCTAAGAAATAGGAAGTGGGTGGGAGCCTTTTTCTTTTTCTAGGCTCCTAACAAGTTTGAATTAATTACAGAAAAAGCCACTGGGAAGTTTCCAAGTTCCTCATTTTGATGATAAAATTGGTGATGAGCCCAGATGTGTTTTGGGGAGAACTTAGGAATGTGTTCTATCTACTCTGGCTAATAAGAGGCCCCCAAAGCTCTGTGTGGCTAAGGTTGACTTTCAAGATGGTGCTATCCAAACATGGTAGTACCTTTGAGGTATGGGATCTAGTCAGAGATATTTCAATCATTGTTTTCCTTCATTTAACTCTCTGTCCATGAGGTAAGTGTTGTACCACATGCATCTGCAATGATAGGCTGTGTTGTCACAGGTCAAAAAGCAACAGGGCCACCTGATCATAGACTGGAAGCCTCACAACCATGAGCAAGTTCCTTTGATAATCCTTGTCTTTTATAAGCCAGTTGCTTCAGAAATTTATTAGAGTCAACATAAAACTAATTCACAATAGAACATGGGCTTAAGCCAGACTCACTGGACTTAGATCTAACCTAAGCAATTTTCATGCTATATGACCTCAAAGAATTTATGAATACTCTGCAAGCCTCGGTTTTGTCAATCTGGAAAGTGGAAGTACTAATAGCAATCACAAGGTCAATATAAATGGTTACACATCTGAAATGTGCTCAGAAAAGTACTGGGCACATAGCTAAACCCCAGTTAATGCTGCTACTACAATCTTCATCACTAGATTTAATTGTATTGTGACTATCACATCAGACCTCATGACAATCATTTCCTCTCCTTACTTTCCTTCAGATCTTCATCTGAGCTCTGTGAACATGAATCTAAGAAATCTCCCTGTGCATTAAGGTAGGAATTACAGACTGCGGGGAGGGAGCAGTTCAGTTAGTATGGGGATCTGAGTTCACATTCTCAAAACCCACGCAAGAAGCTGGGTGTGTGTGTGTGTGCCTAAACTTCCAGCCCTGGCTAAGTATGGCTCGTTAGTCAGGGAGCTTTTCTAAATCAAGGAGGCTCTACATACAGTGAGTGACCCTTTCTCAGAAAAGTAAAGCAGAACCCTGCAAAGAAAAATACCTGATGTCAGCTCTACCCCTACATGCACACTGAAATGACAGTCTTTTATAGAGATTAGGCGAACGCAAACAGCTAACAGGAATTTCACCTGTTCCTGGTACGCTGATGTTTTACCGAACTTGGATCTTAAGGCTTGCCCAGAAGAGCTTTATCCACTGGGCCATCTCACCAACCCATTACATTTTTAACCCAACCCCTAGAACATTTAAACGTATCCACGTGGCTTATATCCCAGCTCTCTTGGACAGTGCTACTTCAGCCCACAAAGACAGCAAATGTGGAAAGACGGCTGCATCTCCTTTCCCTCACTCTGCTGACCAGTCCCTCGCATAGAATACAAGCAAGGCTTGCAGCTAAGAGCTCTGTTCCACTCTCGGAACAGCGGGAGCTTATTCAATCTCACCTCTTTAGATGGCTCTGCGTTGAAAGACTCTCTTTTTCTCTATCCTGTTTGTCCCAGTGCTAATTAAATTGGCTAAAATCCCCGGGAGTTCTGTGAGTGAAGGAACAGGGGCTGGCATTGGTGTGCTTGCATGTACCCAGGTATATGTGTACTTTGGAAATCAGAAGAAAACAGTAGTATGTAATTATCCACCATTGCCACCCCCGGAGGAAGAAAAGACAACACTAGTAGATCAGGGGGTTGGAAGAGACAGACAACTAAGGCAGCAGAGGGGGATGAGTATGAAGTCGCATTTCTTCTGCAAAGGAAACCTTGAAATGAATCACCTGCTCCCTCATGGCCACCATAGTTAAAAGGAATAGCAGAGGCTCTCAACCAGAGGCCATTAGGCCAACCCTGCCATGGAGAAGCTCAAGATACATTAAAGAACAGATGTCACCCAGAAAAAGAAATACCAGTTTTAAGGGCAAATTAAATAGTTTAGGGAGTGGATCAGGACACAAGTCCAGAAGCCCTCATGCGGGATTTGACACGATCTCAATCACTGAGATTTTTCAGGCACTGAAAACTGAAGCATTGTTCAGACTATTACCATTTGAGCAAACAGAGTGTTGCTGTCCAAGTCAACCGGCCTGGCCTGACCTGCTCCAGCCAATCACTGGGGCTTCTGATCTGCATGATAATTATTTTCTAGTGAGTGAGGTGAGAGACTTGCCACTCAAAGTGTAGTACCTGGAACGGCAGCAGCATGAACTGGGAATGTGCTAGAAATTGGGGCCCTAGACTTAACCACGTTAGAGAGAACCTTTGCTAAAATGCAGTGACTTTATCATCTTGCAATGGGATTCTGCATGTTTACAAGGCCATATGATTTGTACACAGGCTACGGTTTGAGAAGTACCTGAAGCTTTTGCCTTCTGATATTCATTTGCTTTAACAAACACTTCTTGGTAAATACACAATGGCAGTTTTTTTGGTCTAAATCAGACTTTCTAGAATCGGCCCCAATGTGGCTCTTTCTGTTTTTCTTTGCTTTGTTTTTTTTTTTTTGCCTACAGCTAATAATACAGATTTTTTTTTTAACAAGTGCATCAGTGTTCCAGGTGGTTCTTGGATGGGATCCCTGAAACAAGGCTATAAAAAGCCAGATTTTTTTTCTAAGTTCCCAACTTAAGTATCCCCTGAGGCAAACAGTTTGGGCATATGGAGGCAAATAATTTTATGAAAAAGACATGAATGTCTGCATGATTAACATACTACCCTTGTGTACATCAAAATAAATGGGTAAAGTGCCAAAATCAACTTATTTTAGAATGTTTTACCCTGAGACATGTAAAGAGGGAATTTCCACCAAAATGGAGAAAAATAAATTTACTATTTTTTATATTAGTTAAAATATGCCTATCAAACCTCTCCCACTATATAGTTTTTTTTACTCACTTGCATTTATATTCTTTTTGTATTTTAGTGTTATCACTGTGATTGTTTGATAAGTTTTCCATTTGTTTACTCTGGCCAAAGAGCAAATGAAAACATTTAAGGACTGAACACTTTAAAAACAAAGCATTCATTTCTTGGTGAATCTATTTGGAAGAAGCTTATTTATTTAAAATATAGGGTCTCAAACGAGACATAAATTCCCCAAAAAATAGTAAAAACAAATTAACAAAGGAGAATGTATTTCGTTTAGTGGTAGTTAAAAGTAAACTCTAGTATAAGATACATAACACCCACCATTTGGTATTATTATCACTATATAACATCAACCATTTGAAAACCATGGCTTTTACGTGTTTACTTTAAACTAAATGGTTCTAAACTATCTGTATCCTATATAACTTATATGTTATACCTGATTGACAATATAGCGTTTTATCTGTGAACTACATACTAATATTTTGCTTACTGTCATTGGTAAAATGTAATTCATACAAAGAAAATCCAAATAAAAGTGGCTAAATTCGAACTTATAACTCAAAAATACACTCTTAATAGCAAAGGTAGCAATAATAATGACCTAACTAAAAATGAACAAAAGAGCTGGATAAACATTTTCCAAAGATATGTAAATACCCAAGAGGTGTATAAAAATGTACTACATGTCACTAATCAGAGAAATCAAACTCAAAACGCCAGTGAAGTCACACTTTGTGCCTGTTAAGAGGGGACTGCTGTGGGAGTCGAAAGAGGCAAGTGTACAAAAAATAAAGGCACCTGGTACACTGCTGCTTGAGGTAAGAACTGGCACTGCCATCAAAGTAAGCCTACAAAAGAGCTTCGGAAAATTCCAAGCACGACTACTGTAACGATCCAACCATTCTACTACTGGCTATATTTCCAAAGGAAATAAAAGCAATATCTTCAAGAGACAGCTCAATCCCATGCTTATTGTAGCATTTTTCCTAATAACTAAGACATAAAATCAACCCAGATTGTCCTCAGTGAGCAGATAGGTAGAAAATAGGATATGTGTCTGTGTATTACTTAACCATGAAACCAAGAAATCCTCTTTTCCAATAACATAGATAAACTTGGAGGGCACTGTGCTAAGTGAAATAAGTCAGACACAGAAGGACAGAAAAGATTTATATGTGGGATCAAAAAAGTGGAACTCCTAAATAAAGAGAACATAACAGCAATTGTCAGTGACAGATGGGGGGGTGGGTGATGCTGGTCAAATGGGGCATCAGAGCACTGGACTGAGCTCCTAAAATCCAGTTGAAGAGTGGGAAGAATGAGAATATGAGTAAAGAGGTCAAGACCATGATGGGGACACCCACTGAAACAGTCTACCTGAGCTCCATTAGGGAGTTCATCAATTCCAGCCAGACTGGGAAGGAACAAGCATAGGACCAAACTAGTCCCTGTGAATGTTGGTGACAGTTGTATGGCTGGGGCAGACTGTGGGGGTCACTGGCAGTGGCACCAGGTTTTATTCCTACAGCTTGTGCTAGCTTTTTTGGAACCCATTCTCTTTGGATGGTTACCTTGCCCATACCTTGCCTAGATATAGTAGGGAGGGCCTTGGACCTTCCCCAAAGCAATGTGCCCTCTCTGAGGAGTGGATGGGGATGGACAGGATTATGTGGAGAAAAGGGGAGGAGGGGAGGAAGTGGGAACTGGGATTGGTATGTAAAATAAAAAAGATTGTTTTCTTCTAAAAACAAAAAATAAACAGATAGATAAATGAATAAATAAATAATAAAAAGAAAGAAAAATGCAAAGAAGCAGAAGAGAAGGCCTGTGGCTCTCTAGATCCTGGAAGATGGACCATAGACTGTGGGTCATCACGTCTATCAGATCTGCCTAGATGAGCAGCGTTCTGTTGGTTTGTTTTGAGCATCCAGGAAGCTCCACTTACCATCTCCTTCTTATCTTCCTGGAAGTGAACGTTCACAAACATTTTCCCCACAACATAAGGGAGGGCACTTTCAATAAAGTTTACACATTTGTCCCACTGAGGCAGCAGAGTCGTCGTCCCCTGGATTACCTGTGAAGAATAACCAATACAATTTGAGCTTTGTTTAAATAATAGTTTGCTGAGGGGGAAAAGTCAACCTATCTGAAGAAAGCAGTCTACAAAAGGACTTCCCACCCATCTCGTACACATGCCAGATAAGGAAGGTCAAGGTGAAATCAGATGGAGAAAAATAAAACATATTTTTGTCCTTAATTTCTAGCTAAAACTAAATGAAACTATGTTGACAGTGGGAAAACAATGCATTTCACCTTTATTCTAATTTTCTTCATTAAGCAAGACATATGGGCAATAGCATAGCTTTTCTGCAGCAAGCAAGGACAGAAAGGGATGCAGTTCCAGGGCCTGGACAGTACTTAGTATCTATTGAGGACTGCAGTTCCGCCAGGGAAGGTTTAGAACTGTATGTAGGTAATCAAAGTTCTTGTTAGCCGGCCAGCAGACCACATCTCACCATGAACAACCTGGGGAGCCCACTTACATGGTGTCATCGCAGAGTAAACTACAGATCAAATACTTTTCCCATCTGCCACATTATCCCATTTTAAGAAAACTTTCATAAACAATAAGGGACTTCTGAAGCAGGATTTGAAAGTGCCAAGGTTTACTCTTGGGGACAAAAGCACAGAAATAAATACCATGTAAGTTTTCCCTGGAGGCTGGAGTGTGTAGGCAGACAGCGAGGGAGGGAGGCCCTGAGAATAGGCGCCTGGAATACCCCATGCACAATTTTAGAGCCAGGTTGTTAGAACAGGGCAAAAGGGATTAAAGCTTAAATTCATCTCTCCTTCCTTTGCTTTCTGGGAACACGACCCTTCTCAGAGGTAAGGGATGAAGCTATTTTTAAAACCTCCAGAGAAAGCAATTCTACAACCTCCTTCGGCAATTCAATATTATTTTTAGCACTTCATGTTCAAAAAACATCCCCTTATACCTAACCTCAAATTTCACACACCACTTCTTACACCTTGCTCTCTCATTCTCTTCACAGTGGGGGTGGAGAGCAGCTGGATACCATCTTTTATGTGATCCATATGAGTTAAAAATACACACACAGCAAAAATATCTACTTGTTTTCTATCTTAACTATTTGATATGGCCTAAATATAAGTAATTGCTTCATGTTTATCCAGCCTCTGAGATAAAGTAACTTTTTATATTCTAGTTGACTATAAAGCGCCAAAACTTGCCCCAAATAACCGTATCACTCTCTGGGTATAATGGTCCACTATAAATTTCTATATTTGTCAGTTTCTCTAAGAATTCAAATGTATGTTAAATGAAATAAGAGCTTATACGATTTGACATTCACTTTGCCTTAAATTGGTAGAAAAATAAAATACTTTTTTAAAGCCACAAAATCCTTAAGTCTTCTAAGCCGAAGCAGAATTAGTCCCAAGCCTCAGAAATGCAGATGAAAGTAATATCTGTCTGTGCAAGTTGGGAGGCAACGAGGTGGGTGAGAAACAAAGACTCAAGGGCCAGGTAAGTGGGGGAAAGAAAATGGATTCCGGCACTTGAGGATGTCATGGGAAGACGGTGAAATGGGTCAAGCAGAATTAGGATAGATTTAAGATTGAATATCTAAGGAAAATTAAAGATGCAATTCTAATACCAAGCGAAAATGAAGTTGGAACATTCTCTCTGCATATAATTAGAACACGGAGAAACCTTGAAAACCATAGTTACAGTAAAGATCATCAGACTGTATCCATCCAGTCTAATTGAATTTGTACATCCTTTGATGCACATCTCTTGCCCAGCCTCTCTCCTCTAACTTCAAGTAACCGCCTTCCTACTCACTGCTTTTTGAGCGACTATTTCATATTCCACATATACTTGAGATTATGCAGCATTTGTCATACTGCGTAAAGTGATCACAGTTAATGATAATTATGTATTTCAATTTTGATAAAATACAGCTTTGATGTTCTCAACACAGAAGTGATAATATGTTGCTGAAATGATGTATATGTTCATTATCTTGATTGAATTTTTCTATAATGCATTGGTAGATCAAAACATCACGCTGAACCCCACAAATATACACAATTATCACAAGTGTTTACCAGTTAAAAGGTAATGAAATTTGAACTACTTTGAAAGTGATGTATCATTAAGAAACATCAAAACCATTAATTTCAGTTAAAAGCACTAAAAAAAAAAGTAGAAATGAGCTATTAAAGAGGGATGTTTAAACAAGATTTCATGGCCCAAAGTATCACTCTAAATATTATTATACAGCCCAATGGAGAGCCTGAGGTACTTTTTACAGGATATAGGTATACCTGAATGAAATGAACTAGCGTGAAAAAGTTTAAAGAAGAGTTTAGACTGCAAGCTCACTAAATCCCATTCTTAAAGATTTTTTTTTAACTGGAATGGTTAACATTGGGACTGTTCTAGCATGTACGAAACGTTTTGATATCCATTAACTCACCCTTGAGAATTCCAGCCATCTATACTGAAAGCGCCTGCTGAGGTTTGGAATTCTGGAATAAACCATTCTCCACACCAAATAGTTGGCAATGGTTCTGGTAAAGGAGAGAAATGAATATTTATTACATTGTCGGTCACATCTGATTCCCTGAGAAACACCTTTGGGGAGCTGTTGGCAAGGGTACTACAAGGTCAATGAGTAACACCAAAATGGGCTCGAAGATTCCGGCCTCAAGGCATAGGCCTTCCCCTAGTTTCCTGGATCTGCAAATGGGAATACCTTCAACTTACTAGTGAACTGGTCCAATGTCTGCATGTTATTGGCCTTTGGGAAACTAAAATCAAAATATTCATTAATAGCAATCATCTAAATTTTTACTTTGATTCTGTAAGCTCTAAATAATGTGAGCCCAGGCAAATCAACTAAGCCTTGTTGATTATCTTTTCTCATGAAATGATGAGGATGTTCCCTACTTCACAAGGTGAGTGTGATGTTAAAATAACACAGTCATTAACAGAGTGAACTCCTAAGTCTTGTTGACCTCAAAACATATAAAGAATCTCATCTGGTTCTGTAAAGCTCTGATACATATTTTCAAAATTCTGTTCTATATGAAGTGTTGCCTGTTCTATAAGGAAAAGAATCTCTGACCTCAGAGAGATGTGCGGTCTGAGCTCATTTCTAACTCACCCGTGATGATGGATATTTAATGACCCAGCCCCTCTTAGCTGTCATTACCATGGTGACTAATGACACACATTCCTAAGATGACTCCTGGGTCATGCAGAAATGTGAACAGCAGTGAGACATGATGATACTAACCCACCCATCAAGAACAATTCACATGGTTATTTGCTTGAAACTGCCACAGGAGATATGTTCTCCAATGAGCAAAATATTTTTGAATATATACAAGTACAGAAACGTTTGTTTTAATATATATAGACATACAGAATATACCAGGAACATTTTCAAGACAGTTTTTCCCTATGTAGTCCAGGATGACCTAGAGTTTATGTTCTTTATGCCTCTATCTCATAAGTGTGCTGGGATTACAAGCATGTGCCTTCATGCTTGAAGATTTGTGTGTTTTTATTTTATGTGCATAAGTGTTTTGTGTGCATGTGTATAAGTACACTACATATGTGCAGTGTCTGCAGAAGCCAGAGTTATGATCCCCTGGAACTGGAGACCAACTGATGGTTGTGAGTAACCTTGTAGGTGCTGATAACAGACCCAAGTCCTCTGCAAGAACGGCAGTGCTCAACCACTGAGTCATCTCTCCAATCCCTCAAAGAATTATTTTTAATAAATATAGAAATGAAAATTTGAAAGATAAAATGTTTAAGGCCATGAATTAATTTTTCAAACAACATGACATTTGTACATTAAGATAAATTAATCCACATAAAATTATATTATATGACCAGGTATGTAAATATGTGTTTCATATAATCTTCTTGGCTATTTCAGAAAGTTTTGGCATACTCTTGTCAGATCTGCTTTAGGCACCACCCTCCTGATAATTAAAATGGCATACTAGTATAGAAAAAGGGACATCTTGTCATTTTCTCATTATTAATTTGTACTTCCATTACTAATAGTTGCTTCAACTCCTGTCTCTGTAAAGGAGAGATCAAGTGTGGTCAGGAGGAGTGGAGGAAGAGTGTATGGGGAGAGATGACTAGAATGGGTGGCATTGAGGGGTAGTGGAAACCTCCTGTAACCAATGAGGGTGATCCTAGAGAGGTCTCCTAGGAATGGAGGATATGGAACTGGGACTTCAACCCAGCCACAAAACATTCAACTCACCACCTGTCCCGACTTTAAGATACACTAGGGAAATGGTGGCTCAGAATTTGTGAGAGTAGCCAAGCAATAATTGATATAACTTGAGGCCCAAGCTACAAGAGAGAGCCCCTGCCTAACACTTCTTGGATGGCCAGGAACCAGAAGCTGGAAGGTTCAGAGACTAGGATAGAACCAAACACAACTAACAAAAAAGTCAATGAAATGTTTTCCAATGATGTTTTGCTATACTCATAGATCGGAACCTAGCCCAATCATCATCAGAGAGGCTTCTTCTAGCAGCTGATGGGATCAGATGCAGAAATACACAGCCAAACAATAGTTGAAGCTCAGGAAACCCCACAGAAGAGGGCAATGAAGACTTGTAGGAGCCACAGAAGTCTAGAACACCAGGAGAACACAGCCCACACATTCAACTAAGTAGGGTTCACAGGGACTCATGGAGACTGAGGCTGTGGTTATGGAGCATGCACAGGTCTCTGCTAGGCCCTCTGCATACATGCTGTGGTTTTTTTAGCTTGTGGTTTTTTCATTTATTTCAACGGTAGGAGAGGGACTGTCTTGGACTTTTTTGCCTGCTCACGGGACCCTTATTCTCCTACTGGGTTGCTGTGTCCAGCCTTGATATGAAGGTTTCTGCTAGTCTTATTGTATCTTGTTATGTCATGTTCTGTTGATATCACTGGGAGGCATGCTCTTTTTGGAAAGAAAAAAGGGGAGCAGTGGATCAGGGAGAGAAAGGAGATGGGGAAGTACTGGGAGGAGGGGAGAGAGGGAAAGGAGGAGAGGGAGGGGAGAGTGAGGAAGAAAGGGAAGGAAGGGAGACTACAGTCAGGATGTACCATATGAGAGAAGAATAAAGAAAAAAATAAGACAAAAAGAATTTTAAGCCACTTTTTGTGATATGATGATTAAAGTAATAAAATTCATATACCTATAACTATGATATTTCAGAATTATTTTCAATGTATGAATGAAAACAAACTAACAATAGTTAATGTGGGATTCCCTTCTGTGTGCTATGAATAGCATTGGTTAATAAAGAAACTGGTTTGGCCTGATATAGTAGAACAGAGCTAGGCAGGGAAAACTAAACTGAATTATAGGAGAAGGAAGGCAGAGTCAAAGAGAAGCCTCAGAGCTGCTGCCAGAGACAGAGGTGCTGAAACTTTGCTGGTCGGCCACAATTTTGTGGTGATGCACAAGTTAATGGAGAAGGGTTATTCTAAGATGTAAGAGTTAGCAAATAAGAAGCTAGAGCTAATGGACCAAGCAGTAATTTAAATAATATGGTTTCTGTGTGATTATTTCGGGTCTGAGCTGCCAGGCAGCTGGGAAACAAACTAACGGCCTCCCTGCTACAAATAGTAAACACTGTGTCCCCCAAACTGTGAGTCCGTGGTCATCAATATAGTGGAACTCTATTAATCCTAATTATTTTTTAATTTATAAAATGAAAATACAGACAATGTGAAATTTTCTTCTTGAACCCAATAGAGAGAACATGCTAGCATAGGGTGTTGGCGCATCTCAGAGTCTACCATCCAAATAACTTAAGTCTTGCCCTCAGAGATGTCTGCTTCGGTCCCTAAAAGAAACACACCATCTTAGGCATTTCCTTTTTGCCTACAGATCCCTACTCCTGAACAAGCCGAGAAATTCTCACCAAGCATTTACAGTTGACTCAGTGCCTACAGTCAGTACGATGCTTACTACTGTCAACTTGACAGGAACTAGAACCACTTGAGAAACAAGCCTCTGGGCAAGCCGGTGAGAGAATATCTAGATGAAGCTAACTGAGGTTAGAAGACACACCCTGAATGTGGGTGGCACCATTCTGTGGGCAGGAGTGCCAGCTCCAATAAAAAGAAGAAAGCCAGCTGAGCACAGCATTCACTTCTCTCTGCTCCCTGGCTTTAGATGCAATGTGACCAACTGCCCCAAGCACTAGTCCCCATGATGCCTTCTCCACTATGATCAATTGTACCTACACACTGGGAGAGGAAATAAATCCTTCTCGCCTCTTTTTTACGGAGTATTTGGTCCCACTAATGTAGAAAGGAACTGATACAGTGGAGAATGAAATATTCCAGCTGATTAGTATCTTTTTACTTCATTGTATAGACACACTTTAACATGTAAAAGACCCTTCTTTCATGGACTCAACACATCCTGGGCAGCCAGGTATGTACTGATTGTCCTAGGTGCTGAAGAGATGAAGAGGTGAGAAAAAACTTGGACTCCGAGATACTGAAGCTTTTGGTTGAATACAGAGATAATTGAAGTTTAGAATCATTTAGTGAACTCTTCACCGCACAGCCGGTGGCTTTCAAACAAGTAGACTCAGCTGGAGAGTTCGGATAAGTGAAGATGCTCAGACCACCCCAGGTCAGGTAAATTACCAGCTCTAGAGTAAGACCTAACACAAATGGTATCTTTAAGTCCTGCTCCCACCAAGGCCTATGTACAGGCCACTGTAATAAGCCATGGAGGCTAGCCCAGAGCCAGGTACGTCTAAGGCCTGTGTGCTTTCCCATACACTACATAGTGATATACAAATGCTACTAATTCAATGCCAGTCTCCTGATCAGTAACGGAAATCTGACTGAAAACACTTCACCAAAGGTGTTTCGCAGAAATCTATGCAGATCAGAAAAAGAACAGCGAGGCCTTTCTGGCCAAGACCTTACGAAGACAATAGCACAACAAGTTCTCCAAGAAGTAAAAGATGGCATGCTGACTGAGAAGCTCACCCAGGGAGACAAAGGCACTGAGGAGTTGTTCCAATGTCTTATAAAACTGCTGACAGAGCACTATGGGGTATAGCTTAGGAGTGATCATATTACCATGTCAGGAACAGAGATGACCATAATGACTAAATCACTAGCACCTAATAAACAGACATACCAAAAACAAACAAAATACAGACTCAGCAACAGTCATTGAAAATAAGCCATATTTTTCTTCTTTTTGGTCCAAAAAGCATTTTCTGCAATACAGTAATTTCCCCAAATATTAATAAATAATAGAAAGAAAATCATCCCAGCAAAGGACCTGCCACTAGAACAGCAATATGGAATTCTTCTCCAAAGCCTTTGACTCAGAAGATTTGCTATTTAAGAAGATTTTGCTACCCTCCCCCATATTCTGAAGTTTCAGGAGTGTACATTTATATTACGTTTCAGAGATAAGATACCTTCTGTAGTAGTTGGAACAGTGCTGTGTGATGGCGATTATTGTCCCCGTTTATAAATGGAGAAAACAAGTGCCCAATCTTCCCATTTG